AAGTAATAAATAATCTGTAGTTAACACGTTCAAATGTTCCTGTAGATAGTATTGAAAAGAAACTTGGATCAATCATAAAATTGTGAATACCAAAGTCCTTTTTAGGATAATATGGACATTCATGAAGTAATCCAGGTGCAAACTTATCAACCAATGGCATCATCATTTTAATAAGAGGAGATTCGAAGATATTTCTACATAAATTTACGCTAGTGTTAAAAATGCATTTTTAAATGCATTTGTAGATGTTTTTTACATCACTTCAACATTCATGATGAACACTTCATCAATTTTGGCAATCAGATCACAGTAAATATTAAGAACTTGAACTCCTCTTGCCTTAGATTTGATTTCGCAAACAAGATTCTATGCATAAGTTTGGTTAGACAAATCACATTTAACTTTGTACAATTCAATTACAAGCTGAAATTATAAAAAATTTCACAAAATTTTACAAATTTGTAGTTCTAAATTACCTGACTTAATACAGTGCTTCACATTAATAAGCACAAAACTTCTGCTAATATGTTCATTATAGCAAGTTTCAATCCCTAATGAGCTTATAAATAATTAGATTTGATTTTCATGGAAAGACTAATGACAAAAGTTTTAAAAAAAATAATTAAGGTTTAAAATGGAACATCGATATTATCTTTTTAAACTCAATTGCTTATTCCAAATATTCGACTTTAACCGGGTATGAAAGAAATTTTTTTACTTAATGTTTTGAATTTGTTCAATTTTTATAAGGTTATATTGACTTTTCCTATATGAATAAAATAAACCTAGCTAAATTACAAATCAATTTATAAAAATTTATTTTTCCCTTTTAAAACAACTTCAACCAAAAAAAATTAAAAAATTCCAGCAAAAAGTCTTATTTAGCCGAGTTAATAGATTGTTGGCTTTGAACTTTGTTTTTTACGTGAATATTTTTTTGAAGTAATTTTAAAATAAAGTGTTAATGTTGCGACAACTTTTTTCTTGTATATATAAGTAATAAAGATCCGATAATCCATCCGATCAACAAGTGTAAATGTTATTAATGATATTAAGTTCAAATCTAAAATAAAATCGTGTAAACCATAATTTTTCTCTGGCAAATATGGACATTTATGTAATAATCCAGGCGAATTTTTTTCGATAATTGGAAGCACGAGTTTTATTAAAGGTGATTCAAAAAGGTCTCCGTATAAATTTGTGCTTAGGTTGAAAAAAATATTTTTGTATGTATTTGATGATGTTTTTGATGTCACTTCTGCATTAATAATAAAATCCGATTCTATTTTTGTCATGAAATCGAAGTTAAAAGTGAGGGTTTTCACATTCCTGTCCACTACTTTGATTACACAGATCAAATTATCGAAGACAGTTTTGTCAAATGTCTGACATTCAATTTTGTGCATATCGAGGACGTTCTGGAAAAATTAATTAGGTTTAAATAACTCCGGTAAATCTTTTAGCTTGAATATTTTTTAACCTGACAATTGGCAGAACTGAATATCACAATTAGGAAAAATATTCTTATCATCTCGATTAACCCTTTTTTACTGTTAAACTAGCAAGTTGAGAATAACTGATGAATATGCATTAAAATCTATTCATGCTTCCTTATATATGAATATTATACTAATTAAAAAAATATTAAAAATAAATCATTTGAGATTTAGATTGATTGATTAGTTTTATTAACTTTCTCATGTAGATAAGCTTATAAAACATTGATTATAGACATGTCTTTTATGATACTTTAAAGTTGGAATATGAATATGATGAAATTAATCAGATTAAGATTAAGCTTCCCTATTGTCATAACGTTCATTTGAGATTTAAATTGTATTTATTGAAGCATACAGTAGCGTGCAAAATATTATGGACGGTAAAAAAAATACACATTTTTCGATATAAAACCTTGATTTCATAACATAGAGTCATGAAATTTTCAGTAGACATTCTATTTTTAATGATAAATTAGAAAAACGAACAGAAAAATTAATTAGTTTAAGTTTTTATAACGAATTTTTATTTTTTAAATTTTGACGCCGTGCAAAATATTATGGACGATTAAAGATTAATAAAAAAAATTAATTAAAGTTGAAAAAAAATCATAATATATTGATATATGTTTAGTATTTAGTCGGATAACCCTTTCCCTTTATGACTGCTTGACATCGATGCGGCATAGAATCAACTAAGTTGATTATGACATTCATTGGAACATTTTCCCAAAAATGCTTAATATATCCAAAAAGTTCATCTTTATTCTTTGGTTTAATGCCTTTAAATTGTCGATCAATATGCTCCCAAAGATGTTCAATAGGATTTAAATCCGGACTTTGCGATGGCCATTCCATTACTCGAATTTTCTTCAACTTAAAAAATTCTTTTACTGACTTGGCGGTATGTTTTGGATCATTATCTTGTTGAAAGCACCAGCCACGAGGCATTTTGTCTTTTGCATGAGGCAGCATCACATCCTTTATTATATCCTTATAAACAACTTGATCCATGATGCCATTAATACGATGAATAGGACCTACCATGTCACGGCTGAAGCATCCCCAAACCATTACATTACCACTACCGTGCTTTACTGTAGGAAGCTGATACTTTAAGTCAAATCTTTTACCTTCTGGACGTCTTACATATCTGATTCCATCACTATGAAACACCGTAAACTTCGATTCGTCACTAAACAAGATTTTTGACCATTCTTTTGCAGTCCAGTGAATGTGATCTTTTGCAAACTTTATTCGGGATAAACGGTTCTTTACAGATATGAGCGGTTTTTTGGCAGGACGTCTTCCAAATAAATTTGCATGACGTAGACGACGTTTTGTGGTATCTACACTGCAGTTTATGCTGTATTTTGCTTTCAAAATAGCATTTAGTTCTACTGCTGTTTTCTGCGGATCTTTTTTTGACATTCTCACCAAAATTTTATCATCTCTTTCAGACGTTATCTTCTTTCTTCCTGTACGTTTCTTGTTTGTAACATTTCCAGTTTCTCGAAATCTCTTCACAATATTTCCAACTTCCGATTTAGACACTCCATAAAGCATTGAAACTTCTCTATAAGACTTGTTCTTCTTGACTGCTTTAATAATTAAATTTTTCACTTCTAAAGCTATATCCTTTCGTTTTCCCATATTAATAAACTATTTTATTTAATTAAACTGTTACTCACAATTAATTTTACGGCAAAATATGACTGTAAACAATGATTTGTCTCCAAAATTTTAATCGTCCATAATATTTTGCACGGCGTCAAAATTTAAAAAATGAAAATTCGTTATAAAAACTTAAACTAATTAATTTTTCTGTTCGTTTTTCTAATTTATCATTAAAAATAGAATGTCTACTGAAAATTTCATGACTCTATGTTATGAAATCAAGATTTTATATCGAAAAATGTGATTTTTTTTGACCGTCCATAATATTTTGCACGCTACTGTAGTTGTTTGCCCTTTTCAAACAAATGTTCAGTCTTCAAATGTTCACGAATTTTGAACATTATTTTATTACAATAAAATCGTTTGGTATAATTTAATTAAACCACAATAACAAATGTGGCGAAAAGAATTACAAAACCTTCAAGTTATGTTAATAAACCAGCTCCAGATTTCGGTTTCTTCTTTCTATATCTTTTCGGAATGAGCTTAGTATATTTTGTCAATGTTGCGACTAGTTTTTTCTAATAATAAAAGCTACATGAACTCTATAATTCTTAGGATCATTAATTTTAAATGATAATAATGAGACAAACTTGGACCTACTGTAACATTTTGCATTCCAAATTGTTTTGCAGGCAAATATGGACAAGGATTAATAACTCCAGGTGCAAATTTATCCAAAAAAGGCTGCAGTACCATTATTGGAGTGATTCTAAGAAATTTCCACACAATTAGTGCTCATATTTAAGTACAAATTTTTGTATACATTGGTGACGTTTTTGATGTTATCTCCAAGTTTAAAAAAAAGTCTTGTTCTTTTTTTTAATAAATCAAAATAAAAGTTTAAAGTTTTAACATCCCGAGTCAAAGACTTTAGTTCACACACCATATTTTCCAGAGATCGAAGCCGATTTTTTCGGCTTAACTCAATTTTTGATTTTTTTGATAGAAAAAAGCCATTTAACACACATTTTAAGTATTTAAATTGAACTTTACATGCTTTACTATGATTCTGTGAAATATTTTTTCAGCATGTAGCTATAGTGAGCTCAGAATTTCAAGTTAAAGAATGTTAAGCCGAAATTTAAGCCGATCGGCTTTCACATTCTATTTTGAAGAATTCGAATGTTTCTGAAAAATTCATTAAAAGTTTTAAATTTTTGAATAAAATTCCAATACTTTAAAGTTTAATCGGCATTAATCGGTATTATCTGGCAATCACTAGAAACTAAATTCGCAAAAAGTATCAATTTTATTATCATTTTGTACTAATTTTTTTGAAAAGTTCGAAGAGCTTTAAACTTTATGTAAAGAAGATTTTAAGTTTTATACTTTTTTACGATAAAAATGATCAATTAAAATTACATTAAATTTTATAAAATATTGTAATTGGTTTTTAGAGATCAGAAAGTGATTAAATTACTGACTACTCATGTTCAAAAACATCAGATGTGAGCTATGAAGGCAAATTTGTGATGATTGAGACAAATTGAGCTTGAGCAACGTTGGAATTACCTTAAATCTTCTTCAGAGGATAAATTTAACATTTTTGATGCAACATTAAGTCTAATCTAGCTAAGGAAGCGTGCAAATCCACAAAAATATCAAGATTTGAAGTTCCATCAATTGACGTTGAAAGGTTTCAGTCAGAAGTGACCATCGAATTCATTTTAAATCTTTCATAGATCATGCTTATTGAGTTTTCCTATATCTTTTGACAATTGCCTTTTGACTGACTTTGACAAGAACCAATATCCACTCAGATATCAGCATAAATTGCTTTTATCATTTCAGAGGAGTTGAGTATTTTATTAAGATTTTTTTGAGCTCCTGCATCTTTATTCTTTATTTTTAAATATATCTTCTGTTTTTAAGTATAACACAAATCAGTAAAATTGTTCCCAAAATCCAAGTCATCAACAAAATAAATCCGTTATAAACCAATTGATTAGTAATAGTATGTCCTTTAAAAAGAACATTCCGGAATGATATTGTTGGTAGTCCAGAAGGCAAAATCTTCATCAACAGTTGTATATACTTTGACATGCTTTCAAATGGACTAGAAAAGTTGAGATGGAAGTAAAATAAAATTAAAAAAAAAAACTTCACAAGAAACTCACGATAACCAACCACAGCCAGTAATGAAAACATAAAATATTGAACACATAGCTATTGATAAAGTGATGAAATTGTCAAACAAAATTGCTCCAAGAATTCCAATCATGCCTCCAATTAAGCTACTAAACACAACAAGTCCAAATAATGATACATAATCGTCAATTGCAGCCAAGTCTTCATGGAAATACAAAAGAACTTCAGTCTGAATAGCATGCACGGTTGCAAGAATAAAGCTTAAACTAATTTCAGTCATTAAAAGCTGATAGACATCGACTCCGGACAGCAAAATTCTATTCCATGTCATTTCATATTTATATTGATTGACTGATAAAGCTAGCATGATTGTTGAGGAAATGACAATCATCCTAAAATGAGCTTAGCTAAATGGTTATTGTATCTAATTTAATTTTACTAAGCTTACACTAAATACATTGTAGAAACAAATGATGACTGAAAGTCAATTGACTCTTCAAACTTTTCGCTGTTTTCATTTGTAAAAATCATTTGATTCTGGTAATAAATTAGTGAACGATTGCATTTAGCCTTGACATTTCCGATAAAATCTCCATAAGCTCTCATTAGTTCAAACTTTGCGAATTGGTATTGAACAATATTTGTTTGGTCCAAATAGATTTTAATATAATTTTCTGTATCTTTCTGTCCACTTGTTTTCATAAGCTCATCAGTAAAGTTTGACGGTATATCCATCATAACGTTTCCAACTCTCGCTTCCATAAAAGCATCATCAAAATCAGTATGAAATATTTTGCGAAAAACTTTATCTGATATTGTATCAATAAAAAGGCACGAAAGACCTTTGCTGCGACAGTCATATGTAAAATTGCCTGCAGTGCAGTTTATATTCTCGCCATTGAATATTCCAAGTGCTATGTCTGTCAGAGGTCTACCAATTGTCAGGCACATCAAATAAAACTGAATTATTGGAAGTAATATGACCATAAAAGTGAGTCTAGAAAAGAGTAAGAAAACTTTTATGTCTCAAATTGGACGTACACAAATGATGTCTCTGAAATCTTAATTTTTGAGGACGCTCTGTTAGTCTTTAGTTTCCTCAATAAATGTTAATCAATTCCCATGACCCTAACCTTACTTTTTCGTCCGCTTAATCCATTGCAGCTTCTTAACCAACAGTGCTGATAAGGTTTGCATTTCCAATAGCTTCCTAGTGCTTACTAAGTTAACAATCTCCTTATAGTGACCAGCATTTCGACTGATCTGCATAAAGTTTAATGGAACTTCGTCATTCGACTCTGAATTACATAATCCAAGTATTGCTTCATCGAGGTTATGAACATTCAAACTTTCGACAATATTCTTTGGTATATCTTCAACTAAAAGCTTTCCATTCCTCATAAAACCGCAAATATGAGCTTTTTCTGCTTCATGAGGATAATGCGTTGTCATTAGAACTGATAAATTACAATTTGAGTTAATTGATTGCCTTAAGAAATTCCATATTTTTTGACAAATCACAATATCTAGTCCAATTGTTGGTTCATCAAGGATCAATAATTCTGGATCATGAATTAAAGCTACAGTTAATGAAACTCTTTTCTTTTCACCACCTGATAAATTCTCAATTAATACATCATCCGCTGGTAATTTAAACATTTTGGCTAGCATCTTATATCGATTGTCAAATAAACTCATGTTCATTTGACTGATGTTTGCGAAAAATTCCAAAGTTTCCTTTACTGTCATTGTTGGTGAAAGTGCAGGTTCCTGTGGCATATATCCAATAGAATTAATCAAACGTAATGAATGCTTATCAGTCACTTTCTCTTGTAATATTTTTATACATCCTGAATCTAATCGTTTGACTCCCAAAATGCAAGAAATTAATGTCGACTTTCCACTTCCAGAAGCACCAAGCAGACAATAACTAAAATTTTAAAATATTTATTTTCGTCTCTTTGGCAATGAAAAGCTATAAAACTCACATTTTTCCAATCGGAATTGTCAAATTTAAACTATTTAAAATCAATTTTTTATCTTTTCCAGATCCAAATGTCTTTTTAGCACACTTAATCTCGAGATTATTACGCATTTCAAAATTTATATTCAAAAAAACAAAAAAATTTACATTTCAAGTCACAACTTTGAAGTTGAAATACACAGAAAAACTGAAATAACACTCTCAAAAAATTGAATAAACATTCAAATGATCATAATTTTATTTCAAAACTATTCAAAAGCGTTACAGATGGAACTTAAAAATTTTTTTTTCTTTATCAAGCTACAGCACTAAAATTCTTAAGTTGAGATCAAAGTTCCTTAATTTGCTAAGGATTTCTGAGAAAAAAAGCCAAAAAAACCTTTAAATTTTCTATTCTTTTCAAAAATAATTTTATTCAACCAACGGCATCCTCCCCCTCGAAAAATTACACCCCTGGTGCTAAGCTAAGCTCAGTTAAACTGTCATAAATAAATTTGCCAAGTGAAATTTGTTTAAACAACTGAATATTACTTCGACTTTGGTCAGCAAACATATTTAATTTTAAAATTTTGGAATTAAATTTCTGAAGTGCTTACATCTTTTTAAAATATAACTATACGTAACAAAAATTGGAATCAATATTTTTTTAGTACGCACTTGTCGCTCGTTTAATCAGCATTAGTTTTATTTAAATAAATTTTTTAAAATATGTCTACAATTTCATGGGATGAAAGAAGTGAGGTTTTTCATTGTTTAAGCCAGTCGGAAACTAATTTAATATTTGATTAACATTCTTAATTTTTTTCACAGATGCAATTGTTCGTTCTTGGGCATTTACATCGTCACCATATCCAATTTTCTCAGTATTTGCTATCTATTTATGGATTGTTTATAAATCTGGTCCAAAATTCATGGAAAATCGAAAACCTTACAACTTAACTTACGTCATAAGATTTTATAACATCTATCAAATTTTAGCTTGCTTATTTGTTGTCGTTAAATCACATGAGTATGGATTCTCGTTTAGTGAAACATGGAAGTGTTTTGAAGAACCAAAATATATTGGGCATATGGATGAATTTACATTCATCCTCGCTTATTATCAATGGTGGTTCATTTTTCTTCGACTGTCTGAATTTTTAGAAACAATATTTTTCATATTAAGAAAGAAATTCAATCAAGTGTCAATCCTGCATGTTTATCATCATATAAGCGTTCCATTACTTTCTTGGATGTTTTTATTACACAGTGGTGGAAGAATGGCTGCATATTATGCAATTTTGAATTCCCTTGTACATGTCCTCATGTATGGATATTACTTCCTCAGCTCATTTGAAAAGTTACAAAAATATACAAATATTACTAAACCATTCATCACAACTATTCAAATTGCTCAACTTTTTGTTTTGTTTATTCATTCTATAGTGGCTTTACTTCCTGGATGTCATGCATCTAAATTGCTTGTTCTTCATCTCATTAACTTAGGAATTTTAATTTTTATGTTCTTACGATTTTATTTTAAGACTTATTTCAAAAATAAAGAAATGAAGGTTAAGTGATAAATAATAGCTCCAAAGTTATAAAAGTAGGAATTTTTATTTATTGAATTTATTGCAGGATTCGCTTTACATTGATCTGATTTCAAACATTGTTGTTGCATAAAATTTGGCAGAATTAGTAGAAAAGAGTAAAGTTATCGACAAAACTTGTGTAATTCAGCCATAAAATGTAATTCAGGAACTAAACCTAAAGGCTAAACCACTTCATCTCATTTAATATTTTATAAGAGTCAATAATTCGATTGCCTATTTTTTTATTTAAACAACTGAATTTACAATAGAAGTTTACTTCCACTGTGCTCATAAAACAAATTTAAGTTTCAAAAAAGGGCTTACATACTCGAAAAACTCGAAATATTTTTTTTTATTTTTTATTTAGTGCTTACTTGTCGCTCGTATAATCAGCACTAATTTTATAATAATTAATTTTTTTGAAATATGTCTAAAATTTCATGGGAGGAAAGAAGTAAGTTTTTTATTGTTTAAGCCAGTGAATTAATTCTTTAAGCCAGTGAAAAACTATATTAATATTTAAATAACATTCTTAATTTTTTCACAGATGCAATTGTTCGTTCCTGGGCATTTACAACACCATATCCAATTTTCTCAGTATTTGCCATCTACTTGTGGATTGTTTATAAAGCTGGTCCAAAATTCATGCAAAATCGGAAACCCTACAACTTAACTTGCGTTACAAGACTTTATAATATTTATCAAATTGTTGCGTGCCTGTGTGCTACTGTGAAAGCATTTGAATATGGATTTTCGTTTAAGCATTTGTGGAAATGTTTTGATGAGCCCAAATATGTTGGATATCTGGATGAAAATGATATGAACATAAATTTTTATTTATGGTGGTTTATTGTACTTCGACTGTCTGAATTTTTGGAAACAATATTTTTCATATTAAGAAAAAAATTCAATCAAGTTTCAATCCTGCATGTTTATCATCATATTAGCGTTCCATTTCTTCTTTGGATTTTCATGATCAACAGTGGTGGAAGAATGGAATTGTACCTCGCAATTCTGAATTCTGTTGTGCACGTGGTGATGTATGGATATTACTTCTTAAGTTCATTCCAAAAGTATCAAAAATACACAATTTTCGCTAAACCTTTCATCACTGCCATTCAAATTGCCCAACTTTCTGTATTACTCATTCATTCTGTAGTTGCATTACTTCCTGGATGTAACGCATCTTGGCTTTTCATTTTTCAGGTTATTAATTTTTTAATTTTGATTTTTATGTTTTTAAAATTTTATTTTAAATCCTATTTGAAGTCCACAAAGTTATAAATTATTGAAATTTCTTCAAAATTTTGATTGTGATGGTTCAATTATTAAATACAGCAATTAATGAGCAAAATTAAAATAATTTGAAGGAAATAAATTAATTAAATTTTAATGAAATTTATATTACAGACTCCTATAGACAAAGCTAGCACAATAGTGTCTTTAAACTAAGTTACAAAAATGCGATAAAAAGTTTTCAAACGAAAATTTCTTAGAAAAAAAAATGGAAAGCAAGGAACAAAAATGTTTGGCCTTTTTATCGTTAAGTCCTTTGTTGGATGTTCTTCGCGGAAGGAACGTAAAGAGCAGAAAACAGATAAACACAAAATTTTCGCTTCAAATCTTCAATGGATGTATTTTTCCTATAAATTTTTCTTTCTTTTATTTTGGCATCAAAACCAAACCTTTCTCTTTGCCATGTTCTTCTTTATCTTTCTGGTGATTCTTTAAGCTACTACAATCCTATATCTTTCCTCTTTATTATTTTTCCTCTCTCACATTCGGACGACGTGAAGTCAAACACAAAAGCTCCTTTTTTTGATTAGCAGTTATTCCTAGCAATTAGGGAGATTTAAAATATGTTTGAAGTTTGTCTTATAATATGAAGAGTTGTTGCCATCAGGAGCATATTCAATTAGAATTGATCCGATCTATCAGCTAGAACCTAGAGCCTAGTCAACCCGCCTTACTTTTATACAAAAATGTCTTCAATTTGAATCTTATTCTAATGGAATCCACGCTATCTAGTCCGTTTCTATTATAAAAGTAAATGAATTTTTGAGGCAGTTTCTAAGGCTACTCTAGTTATATGGCTTTACTCTGTGAGTCGAGTATGAGAATGTAATGGGCAAGAAGCACTTTACAAAAATAAATCCCAAATAACTTCCTCACTTATAATTTTCCACATTAAAGCACTAAAATCGAATCATCTTTCACAAAAAAAAAAGAAAAAATGTGGAGCAAAACGGAAAAAAAAGTCAAGGAACAAAAAAGTGAGAGAGAAAAGATGTTATTATGAACACACACGAAATGAATAAAAGAGAACAAAAAAAAATCTCCAACTAAATTGATTAAAAAACTTTCATTTTTTTTGGAAACTTTATATCACACGATATTCTTTTGTTTCGTCCTTAAAAAGAATGAAAGGAAATAAAAGGAAAAGCATTTTGTTACGCTCACCAACTTGTCGTGGATGAATGAAACTGAAAATTGTTTTCATCTCCGGAAAATTGCTTACATGCTTAGGTCAGCACTTATGTGAATTGCATGTCGTACGGAGTTTGGTGGTGTGAGAGGATTATTACATTGATTACTAAACATTTTGAGTTTCGGAACTGCTTCAATTATTGACCATAATCAATATTTTGCCATTGTTCTTATTTGCAATAATTAATGGAAGTAGTTTCCTATGGTTACGAACTGTAATGAAAGTTTATGACTGTTTGTGGTGCTATTAGACACTGTTTATTAGGGACGATCAATCATGGATTGTAATTTCTAAAACTCATATTATGAATGGTACGTGATGTTAATGAATTTCTGGCATGAATGCTTTTATGAGGATGTATATGCTGTGATGATGGACGTTATAGAGGTTTTAAGGAAATTATTTCATAATTTTACTTAATTAGTTTTTGGACTAAATGTGTGCTGATGCGTAATTTATGATGGAATTTAATATTAGTCATTAATGTTGTAAACTTGGTTTGTGGTTGTTAATTTCAAGATATGATGGAATTGTAAGACGATTGTTCAACTTGCGGACGGGACAGAGGATTCTTCATGATTGACGTGGAGCATCTCATACGTACATATGATTCCTAGGGATCTGTAGCTACATTTAGGTTTCATAAAAGTTCACAATTCTCGAATCAACTTCTAACAAACCATAGTCAGCTCAAAAGCATTGACTATACCAACAGTGACACTCATCATCTACGCTATTAAAGTTTCATGATTAAAAATAGCAATGTGTTTATTATGTGTCTGTAAAATATTGCATTCCATTAACAGAAGCACCAAAACAATCATCTGAATATTCAAATCGCAAACCCATTTCGAAAGCATTTGACAGCCATTTCAAAGAATTGCAAATTATTTATCATGACTAGTTATGAATGCCTTGTTAAAAGCAAAATAAGACAAATTAAAAACTCAGAGAATGAATAATTTTATTCATGACATTTTAAACAAAAGGGATTTATGCATAAAACTATCTCAATTATTCAAAACAGTAATAATGCCATTCATATTTTGACTTACAAATCTCAACTTGTGCTCTTAATTTAAATGCACAATTTTATTCATTTGATGGAATTCACACGAATAAATTCCTGTTGAATTTTTTACAGCAATGCAAATTAATTCCAGAATTCTGAATGAATTCCTAAGATGACTACATTTACAGGATAATAAAAGTTGCATCAACTACCTTATAACTACTTCCTCTACAAATTATTCACTTTACATAGAATTTATTTTATCAGAAAATAATAATTTTTTATTATTTTCCCGTCTCCATTCTTATCTTTTTGTTGTGATTCCTATATTTATAAAGCATGTCGTGCACTTTAGTTGCTTCATTTTCTTCACTTTTTTCTCTTTCTATTACACAAGTAGGAAAAATATTTTGATCGTCCTTTCAAGAATCTTAAAAGAACTAGTCAGAACGACACATTGAGATAGATAATCAAAGAGCTTATTTGAGACATGAATTTTGTTTCGAAAATTTAATATTTAAAAAGTTTTAAATATGGATTTCATAATTTGAAGTATTACCTTAAAAAATCTGAAAATTTCACTTTCGAAATTGAAAATTTTACAATTCGAAATTGAAATTTTCACTTTCAAAATCAATTTTTTTTAAATTCGAAATTGAAATTTTTAATTTATGAAATTAAATTTTTGAACTTTCGAAATTAAAAATTTCTAAATTCGAAATTAAAATTTTTGGTTTCGAAATTGAAAAATTAAACTTTCGAAATCAAAAAATTTAAATTTTCAAAATTCAAAATTTTATCTTTCGAGATTTAAAAATTTAAACTTTCGAATTTAGAATTTTTCACTTTCGAAATTAGAATTTTTCACTTTTGAAAATTAAATTTGTTCACTTTCGAAGTTAAAAGTTTTCATCATTTTAATTAAATTGGTTTTTTTTCCAAGATTGCATAAATTTCAATTTCAAATTCAAGACTCACAAAATAATTCATTGAACAGCCCACTGAACCAAACATAATATCCAATAACAATATTTATATTTCATAAAAATATGCTAAAAAGAAATTCTTTATTCTATGTACTTTATAATAATAATGCCATTGAAGGATGCTTTTGTACTTTATATGCATCCTTCTTCTCTCTTCTATGTTGTATGAGTATTTATACATACGTACCATTCAAAATGAATGAATCTCATGTTGATTCATCTCATAAGTACAATACACGAGTGTATTTTATTGAATGCGAATTTGTATGATATATGTATTTTTTTGGTACTAAAGTTGAGAGAATAAGAACTGAATGGGGTATGAATAACGGATTTTTGTTTCTTTTGTGTTGCATGATTGAAGGAGAAAAGCTTTTACAAATTAAAGCTTAAGGACACAACGACTATCTGTGAGGATTCACAGACATGATATCATTTGCTAGATTGTAAGAGATAAGTTTCAATTGAACTTGAATATTAGAACAAGTGACTTGGAAACCAGCCAAAAAAAAATTAAGAATTCAAATTTAAGTTTCTGTTTAAAAACGATGATATTACAAAAATTATGAGACAAGTGTAAATTAAAACAGACTCAATAAAAACAAATAAAATATGAAGGCAATGAATTGATCGAGCAATAAATGTCAAATAGTTTTGTATTTATCAGAACACCTGTGTCGATCTGTTTGTTACGAAAGATTCAAAGTGTGATTGTCAATTTATTTAACCTGGTAACACAAACTTCACACAAAACTAGTTTTATGTTCATTATCACAACCGCTGCTTTTTTTCTAATCCCACAAAATGTTAGTTGTCATCCGAGTAAACGAGACATCAACTCAAAAATTGGAAACTCATCAAAAGAATCTACAATTTATTGTAATTAAAATAAGATCAGTTTCTTTAAACAAAATTACAATTACTATGCAGGAAATTTTAAACACGATATCTGTTTTTGATAATTATTAAGCTAGTTGTAGTTTCTTCTTCATTTAAATTCAACAATACTTGACTTGAAAAGTTCACAAAGATATGATAATTATTCAGCACTTTGACGCAATTCTAAAATTTAATGCTGAAAGAAGTTAAATAGAAAGTAAAATTGACTTTTAATTACAGATAATATTTTCATTATGGAGAACAATTGGGAATTCTTCAAACTATTTCTATTTCTGATGAAAATCTTGTCATTAACTTTGATGACATGATGAGAATAAATGAGAAAAGAAAGTTCTTGGAAAAGTTTAAGTTGTAAGATTTGAACATTTAATTTAGGAAAAAGATTACAAATTCAAGGTTGAATTACATCGATATTGAGTTTCAATGAGAAAATCAATTTTTCTGATCTAATTCTGCTCTAAAAATCAATTAATCGAACTAGTTGACATGATATTAATGAAAAAAAAAATCTATCAGCAATTTCAAATGTCATTTTGTCATTCACAATTTACTATAATTTCTCCATCAGTTCAATTTACTCATCAAGAGCAAAAAAAGTATTATTAATGGTTTTTTAAAAGTTCGTTCATTGAACTTATCGTAATTAATTTCCATTCAACTACTCGAACGTTTTAATAATTGATGTGGGTATAGCTAGTAATGACGTCGATTACATTATGTTCAAGAATCATTTAATGAGTAGCATTAACCTCAGATGAATCATTTTGAGGTTAATTTTTAAAATTTCTCTATAGTTCCATTCAAGCTTTAGTTGAACTTTCTAAAAACTCTTGTTTTCAATTTATCATTCATTTATGATACAAAATGGACCATAAAATATTTACTTTAAATCTCATTCCAAAATCATTTCATCCGTTAAAAATGGAAGAACTCACTTCCATATATCACGTCCATAAATGAATAATATCCACCGACATAATGCCAA